TGTCTACTAACAAATCATCCTTCCCGTAATAGAATACGGGATGCCAATATGGGAGAGTTGTGCCAAATGCCATCACCTCAAATTCCAAAGGATCCAAAACAAGATCCTTACAACATGTACAACACAAAATCGAAAAGTTCACCAAAGATGAAGAGCCATTCTGGCTAACCTGTTGCCCTGTATTAGCAATTGTAACCACATAACAAATCAAAATAAAGAAAAAAATTATTACTACTACTCGTTGAAGTCATTCTGTGCTCGACTGTCGAGCTGTTCAGTCCGTATGTCTAATCTCGTTTCGATTTTGTTTCGTTTTGTGCTGTCGCGTTGCGCCGTGGAAGTGTCGCCACCTTCTCGCGTTCTGGCAAGTTTAATTGAACTTGCAAACACGAAACAAATGGTGCGTAAACGTGCCAATGAGCCAGCAGCGGACCCTTTAAAGAAGGTGCTAATCAAGCCCAGCGCGTCGCAGGATGACGCCGGAAAACGGGTACTGCAAGCCAACCAGTAGGCAGTACTCCAGGAAGAAAATGGCGATGGTGACGCCGTTCCCATTGCAAGAAAGAGCGGATTCCCCGCTTTTCACGCCGGTGAAGGATGTTGCGCCGGCGCCGGTGGTGTAGTGGTAAGCGTGACTGCTTTCTCACACCCCAATGGGTCTGGGTTCAATCCCAGCCGAGGTCGGTGGGATTTTTCTGAGGCATAAAAATCTCTGGTCACGTCTTCCTTCGGAAGGGAAGTAAAGCCGTTGGTCCCGGCCCATGTGTGTTTGAATGGGTGCGATATCCTACGCAGGTGTGGAAGCTGCCTTCCTGCACATTCGATTGCCGTCAATGGATTGCAATCGATGTCCGTCGGTGATTGGCACTAGATTGCGGAACAGAGACCGACGTTAAATAAAGGAATGAAGTAGTAGTAGTAGAAGGATGTTGCCGAACTGGTAAAACACAAGCTGCTGCCTCGTTTCAAGCAATGCAGCATCGGTACCAAAATCATGTGCTCCAGTCTGGAGGAGTACAAACAAATAGGATGTTTCCTAATGGACAACAACGTGGACTTCTTCACGCATGATCTGCCACCAAGCAAGCCACTGAAGGTGGTTTTGCGTGGATTACCGTCGGCTTGGGCTCAAACCTGAGGCCGTGTTCCAGATGAACCGGCGTTCCAACAACAACACCAGCTTCCGTGACCAGTTGTTCATGGTGCACTTCACGAAGGGATCCACCAGTCTTGCGGCTCTGAGATCCAAAATCCGGGACCTGTTTCTGGTCATCATCAGTTGGGAGCATTACAAACCCAAAGATCGTGATGTTACGCAGTGTATGAACTGCCTCTCCTATGGCCATGGAACCAAAAACTGCCATATGAAGACAAACTGTGGTATTGGCGTGCACAGGGTGGAGCAAGGTGGGGCAATTGCCCCACCTTTTATAAATAAAATTTTTATTTCCATATTTACAAAGTTATGATACCAAATATGTTGATTTCTTCATAACTTGATTTGAAGATAAAATTGTGTTTTATTGCGTCAATTCCATTGCGATGGTGCCTGAAAATTGCACCACAAAGGTGCATGAAGGGATAAACTTCAGTGAAAGTTTTAGGTCAAAAAATTGCACCACATTTCTGGAGTTATTTTTTTTTTCAAGGTTGTTCATGGAGGGCTAAAAGAAAAGGGTAAATTTAAGGTTAAAAAAAAATTCACCTTCGTGATGGTAAATCGAAGAAAAAGCTGTTTATTGAATGTTTCTGGTGTAAAAATATCATCAAGGTGGTGCATGGAAGGACAAAATGAATAACTCTGGTTCTAAAATTGAATTACGCTAAAAATTTGGAGGTGCATATTTAACTGAAAATTTCTGGTGTAAAGTTCGGAACACTGATTCACCACAGTAAAGCAGTAAAAGCAAGATTTATTAATTTTTCTGGTGCATAATTTGCATCGTTCTGATGAATGCAAGCTTCATTGAAAAGGTATGGTGGAGAATTTTTACCATTCTGGTGCATGAAGAAGCAAAGCCTGAAGGTGTATGGTGAAACAAACTTCACTGACAATTTTTGGTGCACCGTTCTGGTGACTGGAGGAGTATGCTCTATTGAAAATTTCTAGTGCAAAATTTGCATCGCTTTGGTTAATGAAATGAACAGAAAATTTCTGGTGGAAAACTTGCACTAGTCAGGTAAATGAAGGTACAAGCTTTATTTAAAATTAAGCTAAATGGAAAATTTGCATCCATCGCATCCTTCTGCTAAATAGAGAATTGGAGGGAAGCTGCTTTACTGAAAATTTAAGATAACAAAATCCGAAAATAGGGGCAAACTTTATTTGGTGGAAAACCTGCAACATTCTGATGATAGGAGAAGCCAATATTGAAAATGTTTGGTGGAAAGTGGAAAAAGGAAATCTGCACCAATCAGAAGATTGGAGAAGCAATTTTTATTGAACATTAACGGTGGAAAATTTGCATCGTTCTGGTCAGTTGAAATTTTCTGGTGTAAGATTTTCTGGTGGCAAGTTTGTATCGAAAATTTCTGGTGTAAGATTTGCAACATTCTTCTGCATGGAGGGGCAAGCTGAATTGAAAATTCCTGATATAAAAATTGCACAGTTCTGGTGAATGGAGGGGAAAGCTTTATTGAACATTTCTGGTAGAAAAACTACGACGTTTTGGTGAATTAACGGACAACTTAAATTTGACTTCCGAGAAGAGCCTCAAGGGTATTGAATTCGGAGGACAGTTCCAAAAGAAAAGATTTCTGGGGATGATTTCATGAAAATTCTGCGAATAATTTCTAGCGAATCCTGCAGATAGTTCCAACATAATTTCGAAAAGAATACCGAGAGAATCGAGAATCAAATTTTTAATGTAATTCCAAAGGGGTGTTGAAGAAAATTACAAGGGAATTTTTTTAAGCTCATTCTGGGAAGAATTTCTGGAGAATACAGAGGAAATTCTTCTAAAAGTTTAGGGGAATTTCAGTACCAAGGTGTTCTTAGAAAAAAAAAAAACTAAAATATTCAGAGCAGAACCTCAAGGATAATGAATTCTTAGGACAGTTCCATAATATTTCTGAAGAGAATTCAAAGAAAATTCTACGGATAATTTCTAGTGCATCCTGCAGATAGTTCCAAGATAATTTCGAAAAAATACCGAGAAAATCAAATTTTTAGTGAAATTCCAAAGGGAATTTATGCAAAATTTCAAGCGAATTCCGAGGATGATTTCTACCTCATTCCGGGAAAAAAATTTGAAACTCTAAAAGTATTTGAGTTTCAAAGTGTTCTGAGAAAAAATCAAGAAGAGTTCTAAGCGTAATTCCAGTGGACTTCTGAGGATGGACTTTTTCGCAACCGTACAAAGTTTAAAGACAGATTTTGGATTCCTTAATTGAAAAGTGAGTATTAGTTTGCCATTGAACCTTGGTCTATTGTTGTCTTACTAAGAATTAGTCTAAGAATCTTCTCTGAAAATTTTAAGTCATTTGTTATCATTGTTAAAAAGTTACAGCTGTTAATGTGCAATGAATTCGGGATTGTCCTTTATATCATCTCTCAAACATGTTGAATGTTCGGCATAATTTCCTGTCACCCCGACTGGCGGTACTTTGGGACAGGGTTGACATGCTCAATCCTTCGCACAATTCGTCATTCCGTTAACAATCCTGTACTGAGTTGTCAAAATAGTTTTGTGCGCTTTTGTTCCAATCGTTACATAGTTTTAAACCTGTTGAACCTGCCTTGACAGTTAGGTCAAAATTTGAAAAAAATTAGAACTGAAAATGACCAAGTTCAACGTACTCGCAACGGTAATAGTAAAGTGTAACTATAATACCCCGTACAGACTATGGCTTACATCATGTAATATAGACTGTCTTGCAATGAGCACTCATACATAAGATTTCCAGTGAAAACTATATGTATGAGTGCTCATTGCAAGACAGCCTATATTACATGATATAAACCATAGTCTGTTCGGGGTATAAAGGCTTACAATACCTTGAAATAGTTAAACATAACCACCAAGGCAACAACAACAACATTGCAGCAAATGTATCATTTCGGTTAAAGCCCTACTATTGCAACCATTTGACGAACTGTTCATCATCGATGGGATTAAATTGCCAATTCCATTGGCTGTCTGAAAGCAGTTTCCATTGAAGAAGATGAACCACCATCGGAGTAAAAAATAAATAAAATTTGCTAAATTGAACAGTAGAGAAACAGTGGTGGGTGGACATCATCATCTCCCACGCACTTTGGAGTACTCCTCATCCCAAGATTAAATGCACCATAGAAAAAACAATTGCCCCTCCTTCACAAGATTCCTGTGCACGCTAGTGCGTAAGTGTGCAGAAACTCACTCAACTGCGTCCTGTGAGCAAGTTGATGACATAGAGCCAACGTGTGTCAACTGCGGTGGAAACCACCAAGCCTCCAATCGCGGATGTCCCAAGCGAGTGGAGTTCATTAATATCCGTCGGAAGGCTACAATCAACAACCAGCTCGGTCGCCTCCTGTACTCACGGAAGTCCAGTACCCAGCTCTCCAGCCCCGTCGACATGTTCCGAACCTAGGCCCGCTTCCGCTCAACAACCAACAAGCCCATCCTGCGAGTTCCCAACAATCGGATAGTTCAGCATCGTCTCGCTGCTGCTGCGGCCCAGCCAATTCCAGGTTCATCCACCGCCCCTGGTTAACGAACAATTAAAACACATCTTCAAGCGTTGTTTTCTCAGCTCGATGATTTTCCGGATGGGACTGATTATGCGATTATAGGCAGTGCAGGTTAAGAGTACATTTTGAATTAAGATACGTAACAATAAATAACGCTTTTCTAGGTCTCAATGAAAGTTTTTAACACAGCAAATAAAGATGCGGTTGATATTGATGCGTAGATAAAATATAATAACTTCGACCATCAAGTTTTTTTTTGCTTGCAAAGCCTGATTGCAACTTTATCTTTTATATATTGTTATAAAGTCTTTATTGTTCAATGCAGGCAAAAACCCACATGGAACCGAAATACAAATGCCTAACTTGTGGACAAAAATTTCACCGCAAAAGACTATACAATGCACATTGTTTTGCGTGTGAGCAGAAGATGGATTCATGTAAAATATGTGGTTGCAAGTTGAAATACTTCAGCTCACTCAAAGCACACAATAAGCGATGTCATCCAGAGAAGAGCAGTTTGGAAAATCTGCAGATCGCCCAAGATCAAAAACAAGTAAATGGGAGTAGTGAACGGCAAGTCGTTGCAGAGAAAACGTCGCAGCCCCTTGTTTCAAATCTATCAAACCACCCATATACCTGCAACGAATGTGGTATTACTTTGGCCAACTATAGCCAGTTCTTTTATCATAAGGTACGTTGGTTAAATTGACGTTTTGGTGTTCTCTTTGCAATATTGCAATGTTGACAATGTTTTTTTTTTCATTGCAGTTGACAAAACACACGGAAGGAAAGTTCCAATGTCCTCATTGTTCGAAGAAATTTCACTTTAAAGATAAGTTACAAACTCATGCTTCAAGTTGTACACGTTTAAAATATCCATGTGAATTGTGTGGTCAAAATTTTAAAGCCTTAAGCAGATTAAATACCCACAAGAAACGAGATCATCATGGCGACAGACCTTTGAGGAATGCGAATATCGAAGGCGCAAATTACACTGAAGATCAAAAGCAACGCAGTGTCGAGAAGATAGATGAGACGACTATTTGCATCATTTGCAGAACGACGTTTGCCAGTACTGATGAGCTAATGGAACATAAGGTTTGTATGGTAATTCTTGATTATACTGACACGTATCATACTAGCATTGCCAGATTATTGAGCAAGCACTGACGTTTTATTTTTTGGCAAAAACTTTCAATGCAGTTGGAGATGCTTAACGTCAAATATCAGACTTGAAGTGGTCATTTTATATGATAGATGAGAACATGAAAGTATAGAGTTGATAGTTCCGTTAGAGTACGGCAGTGTCAAAAAATTGAATATAGAGAGTAGAGAGCGAGCAAAGGTCATTTTTGAGGAAGGCATGCATCGGGTTGATCATCTCCTTTACCAAACTCCCCTGTTGGGAAAGGAATGGTGAGACGAATATTGCGTACTCTCAACTTAGTGTTCTAGATGCACTTCCAGAGTTATTAATTGAGAGCTTTCGATGCCTGTACCATTTTTGCATTGGTATAATTGTGTGGCAAGTCCAATCATACTTCTATGCCCAGAGAAGTCGAGAAATTTTCCAACCCGAAAAATTCCTGGACCGGACCGGGAATCGAACCCAGCCAACTCCAGCATGGTCTTGCTTTGTAGATGTGCCTTTACCGACTGAGCTAAGGGAGGCCCCAGTGGTGGTGGGGGGAGCATCTTTTCCCAACGGGGGAGTTTGGTAAAGGGGACGGTCAGTGCGATTCGTACCTTCTTCAAAGTTGACCTTTGCTCGCTTTCTACTCTCTATATACAATTTTCACACTGCCGTACTCTAACGGAACTATCAACTCTATACTTTCATCTCCTCATCTATCGTTTAAAAATTACCACTTTAAGTCTACCACATTAAATGCGTGTTCGATGAACAACTTGCGAGTGTTATGTCTGTGCTAATATTGAATCCCTGGTACTAATATAAAATCTAGTGACTTTAAAATTCATTGATCTGCTCGAGGATGATACGGAGCATTAATTTTGTTCTATTGCATAACCAAAAAAAAAAGGAGTATTATATCTATTTCAGCTAACCTGTCCTAAGCACGCAAAAGAGCACGAAGTTTCACAGTTTGGTGCACAGGAAATATCACTGCTCGGTGATGTAAAGGAAGCTCGAACTGATTCCACGATTGTTCCGCAAGGTGAGACTATTGAACTCAAACTGGACATTAAAGTAGAGGATACAATGCTGCAAGAACAGGAATATCAAGTTCCAAATAATGACCCAGGCAGATCATTCGCCACAACATTGGTAAGTGCTTGCCAGCTTAAAGTTTGCCAGGTTTGTAAAGTTGGCCCATTACTCATAAGTGCAGTGAAAGTCAACCGTTAACTTCATTCCAGTTTCACATACAGCATCCGCAGGGTGGTAATTCGAAGGACGTTGGAGCTGAAGATGCTGAAGGTCTTGATAATGGAATCAAAATCAAAGAAGAATCCCTAGAAGATGAAGATGAAGTTCTAACTGAACATCAGACTGCATCGGAATCTTCGGAATGTCATGAAATTCCCAGCGATCGGAACGAGTCCCTTGTGCGCCATCAAGCTGCCGCAAAGTCCTATCGGTGCTCAATTTGTGAACTATCCTTTGATACAATAAATAAAAAGAGTTATCACACGGTAAGATGAAGCATTTCTTGGTAATCCAATTGCACAATTTAATTATGTAATTTTACAGACCGTATGTCATTCAGAGCCACGATATAAATGCTCTGTTTGTCGAAAGATGTTTCATTTCTCTAACTATCTTCGTCGCCATGAGAAAGGCTGCTCAGAACTGCGGTGCAACAAATGTAATATCAAGTTTACTAAACGTAGTTCGTTACATAATCATAATATTGAGAAGGTATGTACTGAGTGGAGGGTTCAATTACCAATGCAATCGACTACTTAGTACTATGTTTTCGAGCTGATCCAGTTCATAAAAGCATTGAAAGTTAACCGTTAACTTTATTTCAATTTAACATACAGCATCTGGATGATGGTAATCGGAAGGATGTCGAAGCATCTTCTGAAGATCTGGAGAATAGTAAAACGGAATCTGCGGAATGTCACGGAGTTCCTAGCGATCGAAACGAGTCCCTTGTACGTCATGAAGTCATGGATGTCCATTCAAAGCTAGCCAAGAGAAAAACCCATTCAAAAGGCAAAAAGTAATCTTCGGATTGTACCGAACCCCGTAGATCAAAGAAAATAAGACTGACTAGACGTTTGTTACCTGAAACATGTTTACTAAATGCATTTCATGTTCTATGTTCATCCTCGGATTCATTTTGTCATTTTGAAATGCACAAATTTGACATAAGTGCGGATTAATTCGAGATTTGGGGGCAATTGCTTTTGTAAATAATGGCTTTGATCACCGAATTATCGCGAACAAAGCTCGATTTCGCAAATAAAGTATACCAACTTCTAGAAGAATCTCTGCCGTACCTGATAGTGTTGTTATTTTGCTAGATGGAACCAATGACGAGTGATGACCCTATTTTATCAACCCCGTTTTTGAAAGTCTATTCCAATGTTCTACGAAATCCATGTGCTTTTTCAGTGGTCTTATTGCACCAAAGCATACCTCCATCGCCCATCTTGAACATGAATGAGAAAGATTTGGAATTACGGTTATGGGAAATTATTGAAAGATAAAAGTCTCATGCGCAAAGGGGCAGATAAAGTCGGGTCATAACTGTATTGTATTCGCGAGAAATCGCTGATTGAAGCCATTGTTTACAAACACAGTTACGCTGCTGGTCGACTGTAACGTAAATTCATCAATTAGATAAAAAAAAACATGTAATCGTATATATGTGTTCAGTTTGCATGTACATATTGTGAAAATTCTTCTAAATCGAGTTCTAAAATTCTGAGTTCTGAAATGTATCAATCTACACGGAAAGAAAAATGTACCTAATTTTGAGTTCTTTTGAATTGGCAGTTCCGTGCGCCAACTCAATTTAGAGTTCTAGCGCCTGCTCTATTTTGAGTTATTGTCATTCACTCGCATGTTAACAGGATTACTTACTTTTAAGTTGTTTTCACTCAACGTCAAGTTCAAACTACTCAAAATTGAGTTTCACACAACTTACTCAATTTTAACTTGGTGCACGGAACTGTCGAGTTTTATAATTCGTTTATTTTTTTAAGCTCATTTGCTGTAGCTTTGCGGAGCCGATATTTATTGTTTACATTACAAAATTATTTAAATCTATCGAGGTTTAGGGGTAACAAATTGTAACAAATAGATTGTGAACACAAGGTTTGGAGAGCAATGTGCTCTTGATCTCGAACTAAGCGATACTCTGATGAAAAAGACAAACATGGGAGTACACCGATGGGCAGCTAACAACTTGGGAAGGGTTGTTTTGTTCTTTTCGTTTTTCACAACAACAAGAGAGCAAGTTAGAGACATCAACTCAAAAGTAAGTTTAAAGAACTCAACCGTTGGGTCGTTTTGGTTCTCGGTGTAGGTGTAAGCAAGGTGAGTACATAAGTTACCAACCGAGCCATCATCATAAACCCGGACAGGACGAAACCAACTAACATCAGCCAGTCATTATTCGGACCACATCAACAGATTTTACCGTCAACACGAAGCTCGTTGGCAACAACACCTGCAGACATTCCCTAACCCACATTAGCAGAAGTAACCGTCGATGTGGTCAGAACGAGGGTCCGAAGTAACTATTTGGCCTCATCAGCAAACAACATCCGGACTACAGCGACGACGACGACGACGACGACGACGACGACGACGACGACGACAACGACAACGATGACAGCGAGCGACTCTTGGACGTACTAGGTCAGCTGTTAGGTACCTAGCGCAGGGTAGATTCTAAGTATCGATTAATAAATCAGTTCAGTCTTTAGTTAGCAGTTAAATTGTTCAGATCTTATTTATTAAAAACTCGTATCCGACAGTCCGTCACCTATTTCATATAGGTGTTTTATTGTATTGAAAATTTATAGAGGAAATCATGAGATGTTAGCGCTACGTAACGGCGACGTTCTCACTTATCTTTACACAAGTTTCTGGTGGAAGTTGGGCGTCTGTTATCTGTGTCAAAAGCAAAACAAACTGTATTGTGGTGACACCTAAGTTCCGGTTCAGTAACTAAAAACATGATGATAGCATTTATAATGTCACGCAAATTTGGCCCATTTCCACCCCCCCCCCTATCTTCCTCCTTTGTCACATTTTTTGTATGGAACTTATTTTTTTTTTGTATGGGTTGCCTGGTGGAGACGAATGTTTTGAGCCAAATGAACTGCCAAAATCTGAGCCAATCGAACATTACCATTAGATTTCGTCCGAGGACTAGGAGCTGCATGAAAGGTGACACACAAGGAAGAAGTATTAGTTTGTTTACTAAAATGAACTATGCCCATTTTGTTATGGTAAGTTTTGCTATAAGAAATGCTCTTCGTGTTTATTAGCGAAATTCATATCAAAGGTTGATTAATTGCGTACACAGAAAAAAAGTTGTTGAATATTACATCCAAACATCATTCCGCCGGTTGTGTAATATTACGTTGCACGATGTACATCGATTTTGCGAACAAAATTACATCCATTGATATAATATTGTATCTGCTTTTTGCTATTACATCTTTATTTCATACATCAGTTACGTTGATCGATATTACATTTTATTTTGCTGTGTACCCGCATAAACAATAACCATAAGATGCGCCTAACCAGCAATTCGGGATATCATACCAATTTTATGTGGTATGGTCGCACCATCTAAGATATCGTCAGTTTATGGTACACGTTTATTAGGGTAGTAAATCAGTTTGGCACGGCATTCCTGCATAAACGCGAACCATAAATTGACCTTACCTAAAATGGTTAAAAATTGTTTATAATCCCTGCTAAACTTTAACTGAAATGGTTATGGAACTTTACATGAACGTTTAATGATAAGGTTTCAACCTTATGTATTATGGTTTTTTGGAACTGGACCTTACAAATAATGGGTTGTTAAGAACCATTACCATTCCAAACTATATAAGAACGTTTTTACTTATGATTTGAGAACATTAATGGTAATGGTTATGGTAGTCAGTAAGGTCCATTAATGGTTTTGTATTATCGCTCAACTTTACGTGGAATATATCGTGAATTGGTAATCAGTAAATTACAGGCAACCAATTCGCGATATATTCAACATAAAGTTGATCGATGTTACAAAACCATTCGTGGACCTTACTGACTACCATAACCATTACCATTAAAGTTCTCAAACCATAAGTTAAAAGCACAGACAAACAGACATAACACATTGAATATTTCTCACTGTAAAACATCGTCGCTAAAACATTACCGCCATCTGTTGAGTACACTGTGGTGGGTAGTACGCTGAACAGATGGCGGTAGTGTGTAAACGTCAAACGCAAGGGAATTGACTATGCGCGCCACAGGTGGCGGTACTACCAACTACGATACTTTTAAATTGACCGTTAAATGCTTGTTCGATGAACAACTTGCGAGTGTTATGTCTGTTTGTCTGTGTTAAAAGGTTCTAATATAGTTCTCTTTCCGAAAATGTATGGAGAAAACAAGAATTTGGAACGGTAATGGTTCTTAACAACCCATTATTTGCAAGGTCCAGTTCCAAAAAACCATAATACATAAGGTTGAAACTTTATCATTAAACGTTCATGTAAAGTTCCATAACCATTTCAGTTAAAGTTTAGCAGGGATTATAAACAATTTTTAACCATTTTAGGTAAGGTCAATTTATGGTTCGCGCTTATGCGGGTTTGTGACCAGCATAAACCTTCCGGTCGTATGAAACAGGTGAAAAACCATCCAAATCCGCCCATAATTTTTTTTGTTTTGAATTTCTTTTTGGCAAAATAGTGAACATTAGGGCCCATGCATTAATTATGTCACGCTAAATCGAGCAAAAAATTACCCCCTCCCCCCCTATCGTGACGTTTTTCCTATACCTAATGCATTGCTTGTCACAAAATCTTAGACCCCCCTCCCCCTTTGACCGTGACATAATATATGCCTCAACCCTTAACGGCAAAGAACTCACCAACACTGGGAGACCGTGAGTTCCTGCCCACCTGTCATAAAAACATCTCGGTCCGATGATTTCTCATTCTTATTAGATTGAATTTAAGAGTATTGCAATCGAATAGAAAGTCAATCACCTTTATGTTTCGTGTGCTTCTCAAATTAATCTAGTTTTTGGAATCAAAAACAATATTCTTACTCTATGATTAATTGATCTTAGTTGGTTAATTAATGACACCAAGAAATGTGCAAAATATTACGATGCAATCAATTATTATTTTGCACGTGAATCGAATCATAAATAAAAGTCATGTGAAATGCTGGCTTCTAGCAAGGTTTGTAAGATAATTTAGGTACAACCCTGCTGCCGAATAGAGATTGCTGACGTTTATCGCACGCACACTACGTCACGTATACGTACACGGCGAATGAGAACGACCCAAATTTGAGTTTAGTTCACTCATAATCGCCAAAAGTGCAGGAACTCAGCGATGAGTACATTTACATCATGTTTTCCCAGGATTTTCCAGGGAAAAAATCCCGAATTTGAGAAAAGTAAAGATTGGATTCACTCAGTCTATTGGTACTACTCCGAGACTGAATAAAATTTTCGTCAATTTCCTTATTTTCCGCGAGGGGGACGACTCTATCTACGATGCAAAAAAGATTGTGTTTTGCTGTGGCTAGCTGCGCGCACGCTGAGTAGATAGAAAGAAGATTGATGACGATTCTGAAGATTTCCTGCAAAAAATTGATGAGCGATGCAAGTAGATGCGACAAATGAAAGAAGATTGTTAGAAGATTGATTCGCTAGTGTGAGATTTGTTGACCATCTAAACTTGAGATTTAGATGTGTCGCCCCCCTCGATTTTCCGGCAGATTTTTTAGGTTTTCCACAGGAAACCATGAGACAAATTTTACTCATCGCTTAGTTCCTGCACTTTTGGCGATTATGAGTGAACTAAACTCAAATTTGGGTCGTTCTCATTCGCCGTGTATACGCAAAATGTTTGCATCGGGAAAAACACCTTCATAGCGGAAAATTTTCCCGATGAAAACAATTCACTGACACAATCATACCATAGAGGTAACTCTAAGACCACTGGGTCCCGAAGAAAATCATTATTATTTTTGGCTCACTCAGTACCAGAACAACGGTCCCAAGCAGTCCCAAGCTATTTCACTCACCCCTGCATGTTCTGCATGAATCCACACACCCCTGATGTTATCTGTCAAACTTGGTGAGCCAATTTAAAATCGTTAGTTTCGTATTGATTGTTGATCATACTTTAGCAATCTGTACACGGCGAATGAGAACGACTCAAATTTGAGTTTAGTTCACTCATAATCGCCAAAAGTGCAGGAACTCAGCGATGAGTAAAATTTGTCTCATGGTTTCCTGTGGAAAACCTAAAAAATCTGCCGGAAAATGAGGAAATTGATGAAAATTTTATTCAGTCTCGGAGTAGTACCAACAATCAATACGAAACTAACGATTTTAAATTGGCTCACCACTTTAGTAGCCTATTGGTCCCAAGCAAACGATTAACGTACCCTATTCTAGTTGAAATTCTATTACTACACTATGTTTGTTTTGATTCGCTATGAAAGTTTGACAGATAACATCAGGGCTGTGTGGATTCATGCAGAACATGCAGGGGTGAGTGAAATAGATTGGGACTGCTTGGGACCGTTGTTCTGGTACTGAGTGAGCCAAAAATAATAATGATTTTCTTCGGGACCCAGTGGTCTTAGAGTTACCTCTATGGTAGTACTGAGTAGTAGACTGAGTGAATCCAATCTTTACTTTTTTCAAATTCGGGAATTTTTCCCTGGAAAATCCTTGGAAATCATGAGGCAAATTAACTCATCGCTGACTTCCTGAACTTTTGGCGATTATGAGTGAACTAAACTTAAATTTGAGTAGTTCTCATTCGCCGTGTATTGTATTTTGTTTTCTCCGCCTATCTCTCCCTCTAAGTATTTCTAGCGACTATTCTTTGGTACAAACAGCGTAAATATTTACCTTTTTTGGCAAAACCCAGGTAATCATGACGTTTGATTATTGACAACAATATGACTGAAGAAATAAAGAGACCAACTGCTGTCATGATAACCTGAGATTATTATTCTTTAGCAACGCTTGGTAGCCACTAATCGTGTAGGAAAATTCCGTATAATCGGTAAAAATCATTCAAAGTAACTCGATTTTCGAAACGGCCGATCAGGGTTACTTCCACTCACTTGCTATAAAAAAATGTTTTTCGGAATTATGAAATCATGAAATAGTTTAATGCTAATTAGTTCTTGTAAGTTACAAGAAGAGGTCATGAATTGTATATTTGACACATAACATCTGTCAATATTGCTTTCAGTGCGTCACAATCAGCAATTTTACGACTGATTGTGACCCTCTGAAAGCGGAATTGACAGGTTTTATGGGTCAAACACATACTTTACACCCTCTTCTTGTTACTTACAAGTACAACATATCATTATAACATCTAATGATTGAATAATTCCGAAAATTATTTTTTTATAGCAAGTGAGTGGAAGCAACCCTGCGGCCGATCAACGAAATTTTTCGATTCATTAATAGGCCCACACTCTAAAACGGCCAACCATTCATTTATTTCATTTCATTGATAAGCCTAGTGACGTAGAAGGGCCGATGATTGAAAATTTTCAAACCAAAGCTAGGCCCTACAGGTTGAGGCAAGGCCGATGATTTGTTTTGAATTTATTTAACGTTGCGAAAAGGCTTAGCAAAGGGCGTACCATTTGTGATGACAAGCACAACGGCTTAACAAGTATTCATAAAAAGGCTTATTAATTAATGAAATTAAATTGATATAGATTTTCATATATTTTTGAAAACTTTTCGCATATTTTGGAGGTTGTATACTGAGATACAGTTACTATTGTTATTGTGAACAATAAAAATACTTCAATTTACTTAAATATGAATTGAATAGTGGCGGAAAAATTTAAAATTCATTTTCTGGTTTGTTTACGTTTTGGACATAGGCCCATTTCAAATGTTACTCTAGATTTGTCAAATATTGTAAATATTTACATCGATTGTATCGAAGAATATGCGTAAATTCAAAGGTTTTCTTGCACTAATACTTATAATTTACCCTAAGTTCTGCACTAATGCACAAACGTCACATATTAGCGTTTACGTCCCAGGCGTTTAGGCTCGTAGCAATCAAAACAAACACGGTCGTCAACAATAAATTCGTGTTCAGTTTGTTTATTTAATCGCGTTTTTCTGCGGAACCTATTAGATTATCTCAGCCAAAATGGTCGAATGTGGAATCTGTCTTGAGGACTACCGGGAGGGTGATTTGGAGCTGCATCGGGAGATGTGCGTGGTACGGTTGATGTTCCGATGCTCCCTATGTGACGAGGACTATGTGAGCAAAGAAGGACTGTGGAATCATCTGGACCTGCACGAGGTAAGAAGCAATTTATCAATGATGCATTCGTTATAGCTAATCCATATTAATCATGTATTCGTCGAAAGATTGAAGATGAAGGTAAGGAATTGCACTCTCAGGAAATAAAAGCAAAACACAAACTGCATCAATGTGTTCTGTGCAATGACCAGCGTGCTTATTCGGAGAGTCCCTACTGGAAGCACGTTCATGTAAGTGATCGATTTCAATACAAATGAGTTGTAGTATGTAGAATAATTGGTTCGCATTCCAGGACGTTCACGATGGCTTCTTTCTACGGTGTTATGATTGTGGGGAAAAATTCCGATCCGAAATGCTTAAGAATGATCATGCCTTTCGTCATTGTAAGGCCTGGGATCAAACGGTTGATGCGGAGTCTAGTACCCTGGAAGAGGAACGTGTTCCTGTTGAAGTTGGAAATATGACTTCTGATGCTGAGTATTTGAAACTATCACGCGGAGAGCAGAGTGGTAATGCACATGATCGATTGGGTGAGCATGCCGACAGTAATATCATCGACAAGGAAACCGCATTACCTACTGCTCATTCTGATGAAAGCAAGGATTTGCGCTTACAATTTGCTTGCGATATTTGTGGAACAACATTTTCTTCAAAAGGCTTACTTCTTCGTCATAAGGTATGTCTACATTCGCCTATCATATTATTTTCTAAGCAATACTTTATCGCCACAACAGAGAGCAAAACACTCGTGTATGGAAGGAAAGCAGCAAAATTGTCCCCATTGCCAGAGAGTATTCCAGATAAAAGAATATCGAGCACACCTTCCATTATGTAAGCAGAAAACATTTTCATGTGAATTATGTCCATTTAAGTTCGAAACGTCAACGTACCTTGCAAGACATATGAGAAATCATCATCGTCGTAAAGGAGCTCTGTTGAACGAGAAGCAAGATCAAACACAAGTGAAGAATATGAAGAATATTATGGAAACAACGATAAATTCGGCTGCAGAAACGACTACACATTCTGGTCATGAAGCCTTAGTCTTCAGTTCGGATTCATCCTCTAGCTCGAGTGTTGTTGAAGGTACAAATATTAGTACGACCAAAAAGAATCCATCCGGTACTTCGTCTGGCATGCAACATGTTGAAAGTCCATCAAACCATCCATATTCGTGCAACGTCTGTGGCATTACTATGTCCAGCTTTAATCAAATCACTTATCATATGGTACGCTGATTCAACAGATGATTTTTTTCTCTCTTTACAATACTGTTTTTTGTTATTCCCATTCCAGCTGACCAGACACACGGAAGGAAAGTTCCGATGTCCTCATTGTTCGAAGAAATTTCACTTCAGAGAGAAGCTGCAAAAGCATGCGTCATGTTGTACACGTTTGAAATATTCATGTGAATTGTGTGGTGAAAAGTTTAACTTCCTAAAAAAAGTAAAGAACCACAAGAAACGAGTTCATCACGGCAGCAGACCTATATCGAAAGCGAATGTCGCAGATTGCACTGAAGAGCAAAAGCAACAGAGTGTCGAGATGACAGATGCAGCTCATGAGATGACCGTTTGCATTTTTTGCAGCATCACGTTCGCCAGTTCCGATGAGCTAATGAAACATAAGGTTTGTATGGTAATTTGTGATTTTAACACTTCTTCTTCTTATTCGCATTTCAAGCTTATTGCTGGTTGCATATTTGCTTATCGCGTGCTCTCAGCTTAGTGTTCTAAATGCACTTCCACAGTTATTAATTGAGCGTAATCGATGCCACTACCAATGCAAGTGTTTATATATTGTGTGGCAAGCAAAATGATACTCTATGCCCAGGGAAGCAATGCACAATTTTGCCGAAGAAGTCATCCTTGTAGGACCTTCCGTTTAAGTGATAGATTCGAGTGCCACGAACTAATAAAAAACACCAAAAGTAGGCCCTTGATAAACTGTACAATTTTGGCCACGCTACCGGGTTCACTACGGTGCGAGGTGGAGCCGATTAAAGCCCTCTATTTAAAGTATGGACGACTGTCACCACAAAACTGAAAAAAGCTGTTCCAATCGAGCAAAGCTGTGCATTTTGACGGTTCGATTGGAACAACTTTTGACAGACGTCCATACTTTCACTGTAGGGGCTTAGAGCCAGATAAAAATTGATTGTGATTAAAACAGTTTTTCTTCTAGGCTAAATGCCCGCACCTTGGACTTAACGCTACCCATCAAATCCTGTTCAACACTTACGCCATATATCTTACACACTTTCATCCACTCTTTCTTCAAATCCTTTTCGTTTTTGAAGACCTTCCCTGTTTTCCGGAGCTTGCCCCTCATAATCGCCCCGAAATTTTTCTATTGGGCGAAGTTCTGGTGACTGGCGGATTTGCCTCCTTCGGCACAAAAACAGCGTTGACTTCGTACCACCCCATCACCGGTTTCGCGCAACGGCACGAAGCCAGATCCGGCCAAAACAGAGTGTCATCTTCGTGGATGGCATTCTTCTTTATATATTTGGACGCCTTGTTGAAATTGCCGCACCAACAGATCGCACACTAAGTACTTCTTGGCAAATTTGTCGACGTTCTTCTTCCGGAACTTCTCCGGAACATCCCAGCGGGACTTGCCGACGAAAAACTCCAGGCCGGGGATCTGCTTGGCGTCCGCTTTAATGTACGTCTCGTTGTCCATTACAATTCATTCCGGCTGCACCAACCACTCGCGGTACAGCTTCCTGGGGCGGGATTCGGCCACCTTACTTACCTTACCAATCAGGCTAAGGCCTTGTTGTCCTCTGCAGTCGTCTCCACTCTAATCGATCCATGGCCACACTTCGCCAGCCTCGTAGTCTGCGAAGGGTCCGCAGATCGCCTTCTACTAGCCCGCTGCGCGCCTCTTCTTCTTGTTCCTGTTGGGGCGCTTTCTGGAACCATTTTCACTGGGTCGTCGTGCGGCATTCTTACGACGTGCCCAGCCCACCGTAGTCGCTAAATTTTTGCAATGTGGACGATGGATTGTTCTGGTGCAATTCGTGGTTCATTCGCCTCCTCCACGTTCCGTCATCCATCTGCAATCCACCGTAGATGGTACGCAACACCTTCCGTTCGAAAACACCAAGGGCGCGTTGGTCCTCCATAGTCCAGGTATCGTGGCCGTATAGGACCACCGGTCTAATCAGCGTCTTGTCAACTTCGTGCGGCGGTGAATTTTATCCGACCGGAGCAGTCCAAACTAGGCACGATTCCCTGTCATAATGCGTCTTTGAATTTCTCTGCTGGTATCATTTTCGGCGGTCACCAGTGAGCCCAAATACACGAACTCATCGACCACCTCGATTTCGTCAACATCAATCTGAACTCGGGGAGGGAGACTAACATTGTCTTCCCTAGAACCTCTTCCTTTCATGTATTTTGTCTTTAATGCGTTGATGGAAAGTCCAATCGGGCTAGCTTTAGCATTCAGTCTGATGTACGTTCCCGCCATCGTCTCAAAGTTCCGTGCCATGATGTCAATGTCATCGGCGAAGCCAAGAAGCTGGATGGACTTCCTGAAGATTGTGCCACGCGTGTCTATCCCAGCTCTTCTAATCACACCTTCTAACGCGATATTGAATAGCAGACACGAAAGTCCATCACCTTGCCGTAACCCCCATTCGAGATTCTCCATACTCGAACATCACTCGATCCTTCGTCGCTTTGACCAATCGCGTCAGTTTATCCGGAAATACGTACTCATGCATAATCTGCCATAGCTGATCTCGATCGATTGTGTCGTATGCGGATTTGAAATCGATGAACAAATGATGTGTGGGCACGTTGTATTCGCGGCATTTCTGCAAAATCCCGCCTGGTATTGCCCCACGAACTCTCTTGCAAATGGTGACAGGCGGCGGCATAGAATTTGGAAGAGTACCTTGTAGGCGGCGCTCAGCAGTGTGATCGCGCGGTAGTTGCAGCAATCCAACTTGTCGCCCTTTTTGTAGATTGGGCATACGACACCTTCCATCCACTCCTCCGGTAATATCTCCTCCTCTCAAATCTTGGCAATTACCCAATGCAGCGCTCTAGCCAGTGCTTCACCACCGTATTTTAATAGCTCACTTGGTAGTTGATCTACCCCAGTTGCTTTGTTGTTCTTCAGCCGACCGATCTCCTCCTCAATTTCTTGAAGATCAGGGGCCGGTAGCCTGTCGTCTTCTGCGCGTGCTCCAAGGTCTGTTGCCGTGCCACCTTCGTTTTCTGCTGCTTCACCGTTGAGGTGCTCGTCATAGTACTGCTTCCACCTCTCAATCACCTCAAACTCGTTCGTGAGAAAAGAATGGATTTGGCCACCGTATTCTGTTTATCGGTTCTGTTAGGCGCTTTCCTTACCTTGAAGACATGAATTCCAGCCCGCTTTATTGTCTGCTGGACGAACCAGACGGAAAAATTGACTTTCTTGGCCACGTCCCGAATCGAAAGGTTCGGATTGCGTTTGAAGTAATCCTTCACCGTCCTTGCGTTCACGGAGTCGGTCGTCTTCGCTTTCCTTCCGCTGGGTTGTCAGGGTCTCCTTGAACGATTTTACCACGATTCCAAACTGTTTCGCGATCCACCTGTGGGCCTGGCCTGGATTTTCTACGACCGCTCCCATAATTTTTTGTCGAAGCCAAGGGGTAATCAACTCTACATACTGTGCCGAAACACAGCATGGCACACTAAATATTCGGCTCTTTAGGACAAAAATTGATAAGTAGGATACAATCGACATAATATAAAACGACATCACTGTCGAGAGTTGACGTTTTGCCAAGCGTTGCTAAGGCTGACTTCTTTATTTACTTCATTGGGCTTCACATTGGGTTCGGATTCCAAGGAAAAATGCTGTGAGTATTGCCTGCACCGGTCTGTACCATGACACTAAGTTTATCTCATCCGATTCGTAGCGAAAATCCCAGCGGCTCGTGGTTTCGTCCAGAATATCTTCACGCCAATAGAGTTCATCCACACCATGGTGGGTCGAGAGGGTCGATACGACAGTCAAGATGGTCAAAATGGGTTTCCTGTCAAAATAGATTGCCGAGCTGCTCGGTGGTGCCCATCTCGGCAAAACATCTAATAGCGAATTCGTTTATTATCGGGGTTGGAACCAGTTCCAACCAAGGGGGGAGGTGGCTGTCAAATACGAACAATCGTCGCCTACCTCGCATAACTGGTTCCAGGTTCCAACCCAGTGCGAATCCGAACTTTTTGTAATTTGTAATTTTATAATTTATTGATAGCATAACGAAAACCTGTCAGTTACAGAACCATAAATCAGGTCAAGGAAGCAACCATTTTGAATCAGTTTAGTGGGGTGTTAAGAATGAAAATAAAGTCTAAGTCTAAACATTTGACATTTCTTAAATCGACAGCTACTATTGGTATTAGCCTAGAGAATTAAGCAGCTCTGTGGAGCGCCGCTTTAAGCGACGTGAGAGTCCGTTGCTGCCTTGTAGCTAGTGGTAGTGCGATCCAGGTGGACGCTCCGAATATTAGAACACTTTTTCGGGAACTTGTGGTGTGATGCGGTAGGACAAAGGATCTAGCTCGCTCGTTCCGACCTTTAGGTGTGTACTGCGTGATGTACTCTGGGAGGCGGTAGTTTTCCGGCAGATCGCATCCGAGTATGGTGTGTCGCACTTCTCTGGTCGTTTCACGCCCTCGGATTCCATACACGAACCTCACCGACGACTTGAAGCATCGATGCAACTGAGCCTTGAGCGCGGTGGACAGTCCTGGGTAGTACACGACGTTGCTGTATGCGAAGAACGGCATCACCACAGCTTGGACGAGCTGCATACGAATCTGTCTGGAAAGCACTCCACGGAAGCGCCTGAACGTACGAAGAGTATTGTAGATCTTTTTGGTGACTTCGTTTATCTGGTCGGTCCATTTTAGGTTAGAGTCCATAATGAGACCAAGGTTGGTAACTTTGTTCGACAAAGTAATGGTTTCATCACAGAAGCGGATGTCATTTTGAGGGATTATGGCCCCATCTCTACAAAAGACTATAGCTTGTGTCTTCTTTGGGTTGGGAAACAGACGATTCTCAGTGGCCCAACGTTCGATAGCGAGGAGATCCTGGTTGATTGCTTCGACGAGCCTGTTAATTTCGCTTGCGGGGCCTGCTATGTAGATTTGGAGGTCGTCCGCATAGAGGTGATGCTCGCATTTTAGCACACCAGGCAGGCTGTTTTGATGTATAGGCTAAACAGCAGGGCGCTCAGACAAGATCCTTGTGGCGTACCGTCGGTGAGATTCCGGGGATTCGAGGGAGTACCACCCAGGTCTACAACCTGGCTTCGCTGCGCTAGGAAAGATGAAATCAAATTACACGCGGAGTTTGAAAACCCGAATTCCCTCCTCAGCTTCATTTCAAGTAGACACAGTTGAATGCCAACGAAAAGTCGACAAGAACCATTACTGTGCACCTGTTATCGTCAAAGTTGTTGAGGATATCGTGAGCAACCTTGACTAGAGCAGTCGTGGTACTGTGGTTTTTCCTGTATCCTGACTGGTGTTTGGCTAGGAGAGCGGGTGTGGATACATCGAGATGATCCGTTATTTGCGACAGTAGAATCTTCTCCAGTACCTTAGACACCGCAGGTAGGACACTAATGGGCC